TTGGTCTTGGGCAGCGACATCATTAGAAGTTAACTTAGTGTTCTGGTCGATGTACTTCGACTAGTCAGAGATAGGGTTAAGGAAACTGTATTATTTTCAAGAAGAGTATTGGAGAGATTCTCAGTCAACTTGTGCTGTTTATACACTAATCCCTTAAATTTATCTTCACGGCTTCCTACAATCACTTGTAGCTATTGTTGTGAAACTAGTTGACGGTTGGGCTTTCAAAGACTGAAATTCAATTAGTCCAACTAATCAATGCCTGTGACAAGCCTATTTTTACGACAGGTAGTAGGACTGCAAACGAACAATAGGGTGCGTTATCTGACATGGTTAATTATATGGAATGCGTTCAGGGGCTTTAAAGTATTTCAGTAAAGCAAACAATACCATTACGAATAATTTCTTTCGTTGTATAATATACTACTATATTTGTAATAAACCTAAATGTTCGCTGTTAATTTTCTGAACCATTTGGCTAGTATTTGTCCGATTTTAAATCCTATATATTATTCTTAAACTATAATAAAAAGTGAGTTGATGAAAAGCACTCAGGAACCATAACCTTGAGAGACCATTGATAACGCAAACTTAGTGCATTGACAAACCACTATGTTACAACCATTCCGCCGAAAAGTATAAATGAGCATTGGTTGCAATTGCATGACGCTATGAACATGGCGAGTAAAGTCGCTTGCGGCTTTGCGAAACGTCCCACTTATAAGAACTGGGTTTCTTCAGGCTCCTTACAACCCATCGGTCTATTCCGGGTGACCGCGAGTTTGACCAAAAACGAAGGCTTATACAATGAAATTGGGCAAAGCTTGCGTAAGGACTGAGAAGCCTGGTGGCTAGAGTGTGCCAATGAGTTGGTAGCAGCAGCCACATCTGGTAACTGCCGGAAGCCCTTTCAACTCATCCGAGTCACTGGCCGCAAGTCTGGTGTGAGTGAAACAATCTGCAAAAATGATAAGATGCCAATCAATAACATCTACCGACGTATTGAACGGTCGGCCGTTTTTCGAGAAACAGTTCAACTGGTCTGTTGCCCCGGCAACATCGATCAGACTGTCCTGTTCTCCATGGCCTGTGACTACTGATCCACCTAACGAGTCGGAAATCCAACCCCTTAAGCGCTACATGTCACCAGGTCCAGATGACTTGACTCATGCCCTTCTATAGATAATGGCTGGTTATTGAACTGAGTTGTTTGCAAAATTTTGAAAATTAGGAAGTGTCCCAACCTCCTGGAATGAGCCGACAGTCGTCCCTATCCTTGAAAACAGTTTACGTTACCTATGCAACAACTGTCGTGGGGTAAGCCTACTTTTGATTACGTCCAGATTATTAGCTTCGTAGATTGTTCAAAATAGGGGAAAGATTGACCCACGAGGAGCGGGCTGGTTTCTGTTTTGGTTGAGGATGTATTGATCGTATCTCCATCCTCCGCCAAATGTTGGAATGCCGTCATGCTTATTACAGCCGAAAAATCGTAGTGTTTCTTGACATTATGGCCGCCTTCGATTCGTTGAAGAGAACTGTTTTCTGGGATTATCTGTTGAAGAAGGGTGTGCCTGAGTTTATTCGGATCTTGAAAGCCCCATATACAAACACCTCAGGCAGAGTAAGGGCATACAACCACTTCTCTCCATTGTTCTTTTCAAGCAGTGGTGTTAAACAGGGTTACGCAATCTCACCATTCCTCCTCGACTTTGCCATTGGTGACGTTCTGAAAAAAGCTCTGATGGATGTAGGTAATAGTGTGAATCTGTTGCCCGGAAAAGTACCTTCCGACCCTGAGTATGCGGTTCAGTTGGCAATTAGTATCCGTAGGTATGGTATATGGTTTGCACCTTCGAAGTGAAAAGTGCTTTTACAAGACTGACAGCGTCCTGATCCTGCAATCGCGCTGGGTAGTGAGCGGATAGAAGTAGTCGAGATGTCTGGGTAGCTGCATACGTGATGATGGTGGCTTAAGTAGAGATCAACTCACGTATAGTGAAGGCCAGAGCGGGTCATTCTAATCTGGACCATTTTTGGCGCCTCCGTAATGTTATTCTGGCTGTGAAAAGTCGGATCTACAACGCGTCGATGAGAGCAGTTTTGCTCTGTGCTCGTGAAACCTGGCTTCTCTGAGTTGAGGATGTTAGACGACTCTGTGTTTGACCATCGTTGTCTCCGAAGGATTGCTGACATCCAGTGGCAACACTATGTTAGTAATGCTGAGGTTCAGCATCGTGTTTTCGGGTATAGCGACGATAATTCAGTTGGTATTACCATCTTGAAACATCGACTTCGGTGGCTTGGACATGTATCAAGAATATCATCCAGAGATTTCCACATCGTGCATTACTTACCGTCGCCGGGACTGATTAGAAAAAGCGGAGAGGTGGTCAGCGTATGACATGATGTCCTGATGTGAATGCTGTACAAGATTGGCTTATGTCGTTCCTCCACGACTTCCTGCTTGGGATCCTAGAGATGGTGCAACACAGTGGCTAGAGACGTTATCAGACATGGCTCAGAATAAAAGCCAGTGGCGATACTACTGCAACTTTCCTCATAAAAAATGAACGTAACTTCTTTAATCGAAAGAATCATTTCTGGTTATATTTTTGCTAACTGAAGTGTTTCTCCCATTATTATATATCCCACTCTCATACATTAATTTCCGTCCGTTGTTGTTGCCACTTTATTATACGCACTTTACATTCTCTATCTCTTCAAAACCTCATTGTTATTCTGTGGTGCATATGTATTTGGTGCCCCCTTGTACTAATGTTTATGTGTTCAACTAAATAAAATTCTCAAACCCTGATAATTGTAAGCTAGAAAGTTGAGCTGGGTTGATTTCAACTATAGAAGAGGTAAGTAAAGTTATTCTTTCAGTGACCATTTTGCTATCATTGTCATAAAGAGAGTCAACCTTGAGTAAAATTGCCACATATCCGTTTCCTATCTACCTCTAACAGTACTCAAGACCACTGTATTCACAATAAACTTCCCTTATTCGATTCCTGTTATTCTTACTACCTCGATTATCAACCCTAAACTTCCTCCTCAGGTGTCACCATGGCTAGCGGTTTTAGTACGCAAACTTCTTTCCCGTCTACTAAAATCTCGCTCTAAACTACACATTGGAGATTTCAACGTATGAACCCTGTTAAATCGACCAGTAGACCTCCTTGGCTAAGAACCTGGAATCTCGTACCATTGATGTATGCTGTCTCCAAAACATACATACAGGATCCTAGTGTGATCATTCACTTTACCTCACGTAGTCAAAACAGAGATCCGACGAAATACACCTGTTTATCTGGTGACTCGGCGGGTGTAAGCACAGCACTAACCGTGAGGGCAGGACAAGCACTTTGGGATGGATCCCTATTAACGGTCGCCTATGTGCTGTTCTGCTCCTACCGACTGCAACCTGGGTGAAGTGAAAAATGATTTTTTACAGAAGGCTTTCTGAACTTTTTTTAAAAAGCTAAACACTTGGACATGGTACTCGTAGCAGTTGGCTTTAATGCCCAAGTAGGTACCTTAAACAAAACAGTTAGACATTTAGGTAGATATTTTGGTAATAGCGACTGTCTGCTGTGCTCAGACAATCGTTTATTTTTAGCGAACACTACTTTTCAGCATGAGAGACATCATCTAAAATGGTGACGATAGGCTCAAATAGACCATATTGCCATCAGTCATCGTTGGAGGGGCTCGATAGATGACTGCCGCTCGTTGTAGAATACATGTTTAAACTCTGATCATGTTCTAATACAAGCAAGCATTTGCTTGTGCTTCACTGGACGCAGAAAAGCCACATTAAGAAGACCCATTGTAGTTGAACTTAGTGACGAGAAAGTCAAAAGTAGATTCTAGGAACAACTGAGGTCATACTTAGACAGTTCTGAAAAGGAGGCTGGCCTAGATGTTGCTTGAAAAGATATACAAACGTCTGTGGAAACAACAGTGACATCTATTACTGATGTGAACCAAAGAGTTACGAAAAACCAGTGGGTTTTTGTGACATCTATTGCGCTGATAGACCCTCTTAAACTTATCCCATCAGGCTCCGAACACAATGAAGAGCGAAAACAAACCAGATCTAGACTAACCAAGAGTTTGCAAAACGATCGTGAGCAGTGGTGAGCAACGAAAGCAAAAAAATATGGAGAAAGCAGCAGCTGTTGGTAACACCAAACAGCTTTTCAGACTAATAAAGGAAACAGGGACTAATAAGTCAACTGTCAATCTCAGAAAAAGACTGCACTCATCTGCTCTCAAGTTAGAGGTTTAGGATGATGAGCGGAACAATTTAAGGAGAAGTTCAGCTGTTATTCAGCTAATCACCATTCCCAAACAGCTTGAATGGGACATTGAAATAGGCCCACCGACTCTAATTGAAGTTCAAAAAGCCATGGCTAATCTGAAGCGATGAAAAATGGCTAGTAAGAAGTCATTAGACTTCAAAGGTTGATTAATATCTCCAAAATTCACAGAGAATATTCCGAGGGATCTGAATTTCACTCAAGTCATTCAGACTATTTCCGAGCTTATAAATTATGAAAGACATCCATTTGATCTAAAAAACGGTTTAACAGGCTAAAACTGCGAAATATGTCGTTCATTATATTACGATCACCTACACTACACTATAAAGATTACACAAGTCAAAGAGTTCACGAAAATTTACAGATTTGAGCGACAGTGTGTTGGTAATTTTGTCGGATGGCGGTAAGACCTTTGTATTTCTTACGTCCGAAATAGCGAACTTGGCATGAATCTGCAGTAAAAACCCAAGAATTTTCGAAGGAGTAATTTCAATTATATATTCCAAGAAAATATATAACTTGTAGTCATAATGATTTATGTATAGTATTATATACTCACAATTTGTCACACATCATCATAATCATCTCGCAATCCATTATAATCCTCAATTCGTTTACGAATTTTCGATCGAGATCCCCAAGTTATATAGTCTTCCATAGATCTGCCGGCAAATTTGGAAATAAAAACGGACTAACATGTTAGCCACACGATTCAATGCTTGGGATTCGTCAGTAATGACTACAGCAATAATGTGGTTTGATACATGAAATAATAAGTCTTTTTTCTCATGACCAAATGCGTGGTACAACAGGGCACCCACAAACGATTCATAGGGAATAAGATGACAGTACTAATGGACTAATAAGAGAGAAAAATTATAAAAATCTATGGTCCAGGTAGAGACCACAACCCATACAAATTTCATTCAGCTAGATGTATTATGTTGTTTAAGGTATACAGTAGAAAACTAACAGTATCGTAATCAGTTCTTATTACAAATACAATTCAAATAGTTAATCATAGGCATAACAGTTGGCTGGAAGAAAGCTAAGGGTAGCCAGACCAAGACATGTCATAGGTCCATAAGGCCACTGAATTTTAGATTGAGCCTTTTTCTGAAAATGTAGACCACCTGTCTGGGGTTCAAGTGATCATTGTGACTAGTGGCTGGTGACTTAACTCAGAACTGACAGCAACGTCGTCGACGAGTTTATACTACGTCTTTCTCCTAGATTGAGTCCTCAAACTATTTTAAACCTTTCGTTCTGCAAAGTCATTCATTTTTCGCGAATTATATTCTCTATATCTATTTTTTTTCACCGTCACTACTGCTACATTTACTACTTTAGTACTCATCTTATTATGCATATGTGTGGCAACTTGAACAGATATGTGCCAGTTTCTGTGTTGCTTACAACTGACTGAATCTTCAATCATACAGTTAATGTTAGATATATTGAAAAAATATATTCATATGTATTCGCTTAACCGAAGTTCATAACCAGGAAAATTTTCATATATCTTGTCGCAAGCTGCAGCCTGTTTGCAGATAATCTCTGTGAATCCTTCGAAATAATACAAGACAGGTACAAAGAATCTCTGAGACAGTTTTCTGCATCTCAAAAACAACAGTTTACTATTGAACTTAACGTAAGATAAAAGGTTTAGGTCAGTAACAAACCTTGTAACTAGATATGCTGGGTCTCGTATGATATCTGGGCCCACACGAACATGTCCTTGCTCAACAAATGTCACAGCTGCTTTCATTGTTTCTGCCATTTTTGAACGCATTACAATAACTGAAAGCCGTCTTCGACAAAATGAAGAGGCATTGACTTTCGACGCTAACATAAGACTCCTTTTTGTTGGTATCAAACCTAAGTTGTGTCTTTATAATTATTACACTTAAAAATGATGACATACAACTTTGCTGTCAGTAGTTCAGTCATTTCTGCCCTCCAAGGATCGTTTTCATTGATATTCTTAAGTTTTTCCGCAATTTCTCTGATTTTTCGAGAGAGTTTATTGTAACTATGACAAAAGAATAAAGGATACTTTTAAAAATAGAATCTACCTGACACATTTACTAATATATGATAATCATCACTTCATATTCTAAAATAATCCGAAATTGTACACCACAAAACTAAAGATGTCAATAATATTCTTTGAAAATGGTTAAACAAAGTTTGATCATTTGAAAATATTATCAGTGAATTTTCGGATGTGTCGTGTTCTCTGAGCTGCATGGTTTAGTCAAGAAACTGATTGTTTCTCTCTGAATTATCATCAGCACATAGATGTGGACAAAGACCATCTAAATCTTAGGTCAACAGTGCAAGGTGCTAGTCAGTTGCCCAGAAAATCTAGTAGGTCATTTTGTCTTAAACTGGGTTTCTATTGGTTTGTTGAGAAAGACAATGAAAGCTTCATGATTAAGCTATCCAGCTCAGAGAAACCATAATCTTCAAAACTGTCACCTTGAGATGCGAATGTTCTCCACCATCTCATTACCAGTCAATAGAGAGAATTTTATTAGGATCGCAGATGTTACACGAATTAGCTGTATCATTCGGATAACACGATTGAGAAACTGGATTTGGAGAACATATTTTAATATCGATAATGCAATGAGAAGACGTAGTTTATCAGAATTATGTGATATATTTGCGCAATACATTTCGAACAATCTGGTCACACATATACTTGTTAAGAACATTTTTGGTCAGCATAATGTGATCGTCATAGTTTTAAGTGGTGGTTATATCCGAAAAACTAGAATAAAACATCTAAGCTCTTGCCGGGAAGTTGAAGGATCTTCATTTACAAGAATGGTGATGCCTCATGGTGAAAACCGAGAGTCTTTGAAGGTAACGAAGCCGACGTCCTTTCTAACAACCAGAGCAACAGTTTTTATAGGTACACAGGATGTCCGGATAGTATGGGAGACCGGTAGGAACAGTCGAATAACTGTGAAAATAAGGAGATACAACTTGGTGATTCTCAGACTATTTATTTTATTTATTTAAACACATAAACATTGGTACAAAGAGGCACCAAATAGATATGCGTCACATAAGTCACTCGATTTGTGCAAGGGCTGGGATACTGCCCAAACCGAAGTGGGTGGTTTGCTTAGGGGGTCACATCCGGAGCCTTCGACCTAAAGGTCTGATCCACAAGGCAGTGGAGCAACGTCAGCAGATGTTGTTCTACTCTGACAATGACCAAGAAAATGCTCCGCACACACAGGGAGTCGCTTTGATGCTGTTCAAAGAAGTACAAAAAGCACTTATAGGACAGGTATCTTATGGATCCAAAATCCTCAAAGTATCTTTCAAAACAAAGAAGGAGGAGATAACAATGAATATTACCCACTGATATGCGCCCAACAATGATAGCAACGAGGACGATAAAGACCAGTCTTGTGAGAGGCTGCAATCAATCATGGTGAAGTGCTCAGGAAAGGACCTGACCATCCTGATGGGAGACCGGAACGCCGAAATAGGGATGAACAACAGGTATGGAGATATATATAACATGAACTGAATGGGGAAAGGAACGAAAATGGTGACAGGTTTGCAAATTTATGTGCATTCAACTAAGTAGTTATAGACGGCACAATATTCCCACACGAAAGCATACACAAAACTAGGTGGGTCTCACCGGATCACACTATAGAGAACCAGATCGACCATATCTTCATCACTAAAAAAATTCAGAAGGTCAGTTGAAAGCGTGAGAAACAAGAGAAGAACTGACGTAGCTTCAGATCACCACCTGGTGGTTGCCAAGATGAAACTAAAGCTGAAGAAGCACTGGACAACTAGGGAAACAACATTACATTTGCTGGAAGCCGTAAGGCTAATTCCTCCTCTGACAAAAAGGAAAACAACAAACATAGGCACAAAGAATGTCCGTCCAATGTGGGAGGATCATTCAAATAACCGCAGAAATGGAAAGATACAACATGAGATATGCTTGGAATAACTGAGACCCATTGGGAAAGATCTAGACAGGGAAGACTAGCTTCGTAAGAAATATTATTGATCATGAAGATGAAAGAACCCTACACGCTGTTCTCCAAAGAACTTATCAGATTAAAAACTTGTAACTTCAAGATTATTGAAGCACCCTTTAAAGGAAAGAGGTTACAATCGATATCGTACATGGCTACGCACTTACCAATCATGAAAGTGAAGTTAATAAATGCCAGTTTTATGACAGGCTAACCTATCCTAGGGAAAACCCAGGAAAATACTTGATAATTCTGACGGGAAAACTAAACGCCAAAGTCGGGATAGGAAACGCCAGGTATGGACTCATCATCGGGCGATATGGATTGTGAGAAAGAAACGAGAATGCTGAGAGGCTGGTATATTCACTTGGTTTTAACAGCATAGTTATAGATGGTAACACTTCCCGACAAATACATACACAGAGCTGCTTGAGTTTCGCTAGACCATATCGACCATATGTGTATAAGTAAAAACTTCAGGTCCATCGAAGATGTAAGAACAAAGGGAGGAGTTGATGTATTTTCAGATCATTATCTGATGGTAGCCAAGCTAAAACTAAAGTTAAAGATGCAATAAACAGTTGGAGAATCAGTGTTACAAAAGTTTGATATGGCCTTTCTTCGAGTTACTAACATGTTCAACGACTTCTTGATAGGTCCCACCAGCCAGTTTGAAGCCTTATAAGATCTACTGCAAGAGGAAAATACTGAAAAACACTAGAAAGGAATTAAAGAAGCAATAACTTTGACGTACCAAACGCTGAGTCCCAAGAAGCACCAGAATAAAGGATGGGTCTATGTAGACAGCCTGGAAAGGATTCAAGAAAACGAAAACACGAAGATAGTAATCAAAGCTAACAAAAAAAGACACAGGTTGAATATACAGAAGCAAACAGGAGTGAAGAAGAGTATTAAAGCTGAGTCGGAAGTATGTTGAAGAACTGGTAAATACAGAAAAAAAGCTGCAAGGAAAGGAAATATGAAAGGACCGTATGATACAACCAATAAGCTAGCAGGAATATATGGTAGACCAGAGCAAGAAGTCAAGAGAAAAAGAGGGAAAACAACGGCTGAAGTTAATGAGCAACAGGACCAGTCGCCACAGCATTTGAAGAGCTCTTGAATAAACCGGCACCGCTAAAACGACCGGAAGTTGAGGCAACACACATAGATAGTACCACACTAACAATATAAAAATTTAGCAAGACCATTACACGAATCATGAATCGGAAAGTAGTAGGACCAGACAACACACCAGTTGAGGTGCTGAAGTTAGATATTGAGGTATCAGTAAAGATGTCCCACGTTCTCTTCAGAAAGACTTGAGAGGAGCGAGTACCAGTGGACTAGAGGGAGGGATGTCTCATCAAGGCATCCTAGTAAGCGTGAGAACTACGGAGCTATCACGCTACTGTCAGTACCAGGCAAGGTTTTCAACAGCGTTGCTGAACCGAATGAAAGATCCGGCAGACGCGCAACCTCGAGATCAACGGGCTGGATCAACCATGTACCGGGCGAATCGCGACATGGAGGGTCGTTGTTTAAAACTCAACTGAACGGAACTCATTGCTTTATGTAAACTTCCTTTACTATGAAAAAATCCGACAACATAGATAGGGAGACCTTGTATGAAGCATCATACGGAACTTTTACCAAGGACTACAATTCAAAGTCGCGTATGGAAGATAGCTTACAGATCCAAATAAAAAATGGTGTCAAAGAAAAATGTCTTCTTTCATCTTTTCTTTTTCTACTAGCTGTTGACTAGATCATGAAAACAACACCTCAGGAAAAGCACGGAATACAGTAGACGCCTTAGACACAGTTGGATGACTTGGACTTTGCGAATGACAGCACTACTATTGCATACAAAACAACAAATACAAAAGATAGCCAGCATATTAGCTATTTCGGCAATAGTAGGTTTCAACATCCATAGGGGGAGAAACAAGGTCCTGGAATACAACACAGCGAGCCCCAGTCAATTCCCACTTGGTGGGGGGAACTCTACGTATTTAGGAGGCACCATCGATACACAGGGAGGATCTGATCAAATATCAAGGCATGAATTGGCAAAGCGAAGGAGACTTTCATACGACTGAAGAATATCTGAAACCCGAAACAACCGTCATAGAACCCCAAAATTGGAATTTTCAACATTGATGTTAAAAGTTCTACTATATGGGGTTAAAACGCAGAGGAATAGCACCACCATCATCAAAAAATGTACAGACATTAATAATCAGGTGACTGTATAAGATACTTCAAATACACTGGCCAGACACTATCAGGAATAACTGAGTCATGGAATAAACTGGCTGAGGAAGAAATTAGGAAAAAGACGCTGGATGTAGGTGAGGCACATTATGAACAAACTATTAAACTGTACCACAAAGCAAGGCCAGACTTGGAGTCCTCAAGACAAAAGAGAAAGAGGTAGATCAGGAAGTGCGTTCTCCCAGGAATTAGTAGCAAGCATCAAGAATAAAAACACAACTAGGCGACAACTGGTAAGGAAATCAGGACAGAACCACTTGAAGATCCCTGGTAAGCAGCCTATGCCCCAAGAGGAGCACCAAACTTAAGTAAGTGAACATATTGGACCTTATGTCTGGTGTTGAGATATGACATTCGACAGTTTAAGTAGACTAATGACTAAAGCTAGAATTCTGTATATTTATAAAGCAGATGAATCGCAGACATAAAATTGTCAAGATATGGTTAGATACAAGAGCAACATCCACTATGGATGACAACTACCATTCGTTGCGAACTTGATACCACAGAAAACCAGAAAAACATCGTAGCTTTTGGTAATTCACTCGTTCATGTACCACTTCATTGTGAACCTACTAAATAATAATAGGATATATTGAGATAAAAGACGTACTTAGTATTACAATTACTACAACATATTCCCTTCATCTGGTTGTTATTAATAACCACCCAGTTGTTAATGGTGATAAATGTAACTCAAGTAAGCCTCAGTTTGAAAAATTTATGCAACGTACTGTAATTACTTAGTATGGCAAAGTCGTTCCTCCACAGGTATTAGCTTACAATAATAACCTGGCAATCATCAACATTGTATCCACGGTGAAAGAAATCTTCACATCATATCATGGGGACAATAACTTCAAGTAAGATTAAATAAAAAATAACGAAAGGGGATTGAATTTAGCTGTATGAAGTTAATCAGACCAGGGAGGTGAGGTCGAGAACGAAATAGAGATGAAGCCCTTCTTATGGCTAAGGTAACTATATGTAGATCTAGTGAATGTGTGATGTACTAAAGTAACTGAAAAGCAACACACCGACACTATGAAATAATTAGAAACTTTTTAATCCAATAGTAAATTTCAAGATGTATAGAGCCGGAAATGAGGAGCTTAATCAATAATTATGCCTGTTGACATTAGGCAGTAGTGCTGAATATAAGGAAGTTTTTTAACCGGAAACGTATCAGAACACCGAAACATCCACTATTTTAGACGAAAGCCACTCAGTACCACGACCAGTTCCTTGTTTTACAAGGAGCATCGATCCAGTGAGTTGTGGTTACGAATTTTGTCGTATGGTAGGACACGAGGTGACCTTATACTGGCATTTCGTATCTTTAATTATGATTTGGGTGTTAATATGTCTTATTTTTTTTGCTTCCTCCGGCACTAATAATCTCCGAGGTCATAGCAAGAAGGTTCATAAACCAAGATCTAATAAACTTAAAATGGGGTCCCGTTTTTCTTATCGAGTAGTCAATCTCTGGAACGCCTTACCCGAACAAGTGGTATCAGCCCCATCAGTGAATACTTTCAAGGAGAAGCTGTACCTTCACTGGAAAGCAATGTGTCAGGATTAATACAGGTTCACCAACCTACTATCCTTATTACTGAAGAGTTAACCTAATATATCTCTTGTCCAAATCCTTCACTTCGTAAACGATACAATGATCTTCGAATAAAGATGTTCATCGAGAAGCGACGGTTGCAGACCAAGAAGTCGAAATAACGAGTCATAAGTCAACTGCCAATACTTGTTTTCTTTAAGTTTGTACACATCAAGTCGACATTAACGTTGAGAAAACTAATCAAGGCTTACAGTGTGTAGTCTTCGCGTTTCTGGACGTGAAACAGTCGCATAATTTTAACTTCATGTAAGTTATTGTCACATTCCCAGTTAATAAAGTCGACCTTCTTTAGCAATTTTCGTTCGTGATACTTTAATTTGCGGACCATTGCAACGCTACCGTTTGAACTTTAGCGTTCATACAATATCCAATACCTGGTGGCTCGTATAAAGGGGTTGTTTTGTGGTTTCAAGACGGTCTTTGGTCTTTGAAAATGTCCAAAGGATACCTATCTAGCCACTCTACCGTGCCATTCCTAGTCAGTTTGTTAGTTATTTGTGAGTTTGCATATTAGTCGCAGTTTCGCTTCGGAGAGGATAAGGGGCTTGGTTGTCTATGTTAATCCTGGCCATATGAGTTTCTCAGTTGATCCAACCTTCTTTTAAATGTATTAATAAATGGAGCTTTAATCACATCTTGACGTAGCAATTTCCATCTGTTGATGATTCTATGAGAAAATCGATAGTCATGTGGCAGTAAATAAATCCCCAAAATAAATAGCTCTGTAAGTTTTCGACATTGGTTTTAATGAACTCACCTAGCTGAAGGCGCTCGGTCATGTATCCGCACCAGATCACGGGAGGGAACGCCGTGTTCAACAATCCCTACAATCGCTAGCCAGATTAGATCAGACGAACCTCGATATATTGATAGCCTATCAAATCTACCTTTATGGTGACATATATTCAGTGATTTTTGTAACAACAAAAATAAAAACCACATTTTTTCTCTAATTTGTCACACCTTATTTGTAACCACATTTTTATTCAATATCTGTTGTTTTGCTGTATCACTTGTTAAAAGACGATGATAATTGTTTCGATGAATGATATACACTTCTTCTACCGGGTTGTTTAAAATATAGAACAATACCTACGCCGTTTGTTCTTCTGTTTTATTGGCCACCGTTTTGATTGAAGACTATAATAGTATTATAACATCATTATAGGCCTTCCGACTCAACGTTGGACTTTTGGCACGGATTACTATTGTATAATACTATTGGACTCCGTCTTCCTCATTACGTCTTTGGTGCAGTCACTTGCAGAGAAACACCTGTCAACCAAGTGAACTCAGTTTGTGGTCGTTGTCCTCACGAGGCAGTTAACAAGTAACATTCATTCTATAGTAACTGTTAGCGTCTGTTTTGTTTAATATAACTTTTGTATTGCTAATGGTATTTTATTACCTTTGTTTTTACTAACGGATAGACATCTAGGTTTCTTAATCAATAATTTGTTTTGGTATATCATTGTTAACCTAGTGTATCAATATAATTTGTGTAAGCTCCTTTTGTTTGGGGACCACCACACCTTCGAAGCAACTCGCAACTGAATTTGACCTCGCTTGGTGTGTACGCTTCATATTAGGTGTTACTGGTCAAAGCGTTGTCAAAATCCAAATATTTGTGGCATCTTCATTGGTGAGCCTAACGTAATCTGGTACAACAAATTGTAAACAGTGAGTTTGATCATTAATGGGATTCCATAATTCATTGATTAATTTCATTATTTTATACATTGTGATATTTTTTCATGTTCTTCGATATCTATATATTTTTCCTTCATTCATTCTTGTATTTCATATTTCATCATGAATGAACAGACATAACGTACTTAAGCTTAAGACTTTGTATCCACTTTCGTTCCAACTGATGCCCTTCCGGCCAGACAACATCGAAGCCTGGTTTTACTACGCAGAAGCCGATTTCTCCTAGCACGGCGTGAACGATACACGTGCACAATTCCTCGCAGTAGTCAAGGCAATACCGCACGAATTCAACAGGTACGTAATACCTAGTATGTTTGCTTGTGATGTTTCTAAACCTTACGAAACGCCGAAACGTTCTATTCCTAAACGCGGAGACCTAACCGACAGACAAGGGTTAGACCAACTCCTCAATAACATCGACCTGCAACACTGTTCTGCGGCCGACATGTTGGAACGAATGAGAGAGGTTATCGGCCAAAGAACCTTTGATTATGGCCTGTTCAAACATCTTTTCTTGTCCAAACGTTCTCATCAGGTGCAATCTGTGCTTGTCTCGTTCCACAACAGCGCCTTAGACGAACTGACTGCATCCGCCGACCGCATTTTAGAAATAACAAAATCTTCCAATACCGATGTTTTTATTAGCCAAAGAAAAGACTCATAACCGATTTATGTCATATACTTACGCGTTATCTCAATTTTCGTAACGACCGTTAGCGATCACACGCCCACGTAGAAGCACTTCACGTGAGCGATCTGTCCCTAGACCACGAGTGATGGATAACCCTGACTTGTGTTGGTATCATAACCAGTATGGAAAGTCTTCCAGAACTTGCAGAAAACTCTGCAATTTTCCCAACTCAAAACTGACTGACACGCAAAACAACTCGGGAAACTTCCAAGCCGGCACGCGTTAACGGCAACCGTGGCCGGCGAACATAGCCGTCTGTTGTACGTCACAGATGTGGCAACAAGAGCTCGCTACCTCGTCGACACTGGCGCAGAAGTTAGCGTTCTCCCAGCGAATTCCAACGACCGACTTCACGAATCGGCTTTAAACTTACAGGCGGCAAACGGAAAGCCTATCGCTACGTATGGCAAAAGGTATGTTTACCTCAACGTGGGTTCACGCAAACCCATTCACTGGGTCTTCGTTGTTGCAGATGTTTCTATACCAATCATTGATATGGACCTCTTACAACACCATAATCTAATCATCAACACGCACAAACGGTGGCTAGTAGACGTAAACACCAATTTATGCGTTTGCGTAACTTCTATTTCTGGTTGCAGATTATCTCCAGTCACAATTGAGCACACGATAGACCCATTTTATCAACCACCACTCGATAAGTATCCTGGGATACACCAAACGCAAACGAAGTTACCATGTGTAACCAGCAACGCTAAATATCATATCACGACTACAGGATCACTTGTATTCTCTAAAGCACGCCGACTAGCTCCAGAAAAGCTAAGGTTGGCCAAAAATGAATTTGACCACATGATAGACTTAGGAATCATACGACCGTCAAATAGCCCATATGCATCTCCGTTGCACATGGTCCCTAAAAAGGACAGCAACGATTGGCGTTCAACTGGTGACTATCGGCGATTGAATGCGAAAACCATTCCCGATCGTTACTCGTTGCCTCACATTCACGATTTGACAGCTACGTTGAAAGGTACAACTGTCTTTCCGAAAATCGACTTGGTTAAAGCGTATAACCAAATTCCCATGACCATTGACGACATTCCGAAAGCAGCTATCATAACTCCCTTCGGACTCTGCGAATTTTCGCGAGTGCCTTTCGGTCTAAGAAACGCTGCACAAACCTTCCAAAGGTTAAAAGACGATGTCTTTCGAGGTCTCAACTTCGTACATGCGTATGTTGACGACTGTCCAATAGCAAGTCCGGACAAAGAATCGCATCTCAAGCATCTGGATCTTGTTTTCGACCGACTACAAAAACATGGCATTACTGTAAACATTCAGAAATGCCAAATCGGAACTGACTCGTTAGACTTCCTAGGACACACTATAGGTGCTCAAGGCATTCAACCCCTAAGAACAAATGTGGCGGCCATTCTGGATTGCCCAGAACCGACCACCACCAAGCAATTACGCACGTTTGTCGGCCTTGTAAGCTTCTATAGATGATTCATACCGAAATGCGCGTTACTTATGAAACTTCGACTTCCAGGAGAATTCGTGGATCCTTCATCCTCTTCAATGAACATGGATCTAACCTCCTACACGAACAGGCTTACAAACGCAATGCGTTCAGTTAAACCTGTTTCCACTTGACCTCAATCAACCGATGTTTTCGTTCAACCTGACTTACGATATAGTACACACGTTTTCATTCGTCGAGACTCGCATCGACGACCTTTTGAATCAGCATACGAAGGACCCTTCAAAGTTCTTCAACGCAAACCTAAGTACTATAAAATCCATAAGGACGGAACCAACGATAGCATCAGCATCGATCGCCCCAAAGCAGCGTATTTAGAAGGAGATCATATCCATGTCGATTTTCTTTCGTTACAATCAAACGACACGACTCCGACGCCAATAAAACCTCATCCGACAACCAACAAGCACGATGATACATTGACAGTATCTGAAACTAAATTTAAAACAGCGCGCTCTGGAAGAAGAGTAAGATTTCCAGAACATTTAAATGACTATTGCACGTAAGTGGTTAGGATTCCTGGCTTTCACCCAGGCGGCCCGGGTTCGATTCCCGGCGCCGGAAAGTCTTCACATCTATACACACACCAATCTACACAACACTCATCAACACTAGATCAACACCAACAAACACTTCCCGACCACTGACACTAGCATCCGTCACGTGCCTACATCGATAGGCAAGCACAAAATGTAAGCAAAATGTTCGATGACATATTGATTAGTCGCTTCACTTGCAGTATGTCGACAATATTCTATTCACACACTCGCTTCAGCACGTATCAAGAAACAGACAACGTGTCATAGGAATTCACACTGAAACTTCGAACAATTCAATTCTCCTCGACTCATTCCTCGATTCGTGAACGTGGAGAAGGTGAGGTAAGACACAGTGAGCCATTGCAAAGCATACGAACAAATTGGATTCATCAATCAATCAATCTGGTGTCTCACTATCAACCAATCGCAACGTCTGATCCCTACAATACACGCACATCGGACCAGTGTGCTCAATCCAATCTCGTGTTTTCACTTGGGCTCCGTGTAGCATTCCACATTCCCCTCCATCACACCTTCACTCACATTCAGTCATTCACTCTCCTTCCATTTAGTTCTCTCTGTCGTAGTCTGTCTTAGTGGTCAGCACATTCAGCTGCTGGCAGACTGTAAATCATGATGTCTAATGAACCAGGTTGATTGTTGCATGTCCACATTGAATTCGATGGAAGTGTATTATGATTGAATGTGTGGATTGTTATTGACATTCACGTGAACACATCACATACAAAAGTGCAAGCACACACACACACACATGCATGCATGCATGCAATCACTCATTCACGCACTCAATCAATCAATCAATCAATCAATCAATCAATCGATCCATCAATCACTCACTCACCCACACACACACACACACAGACGAACAAACATGTGTGGCCTTGCAGTCTGTGGAAGTAGGTGG